GCAACGTTGTGGTTGTATTTCGCTTACTTAGTAACCTGCCGTGAAAATTATAGAAGGCAGAAAACAAAACGTTAAACATTAAAGAAATCTATTGCATGGTTCATATCCCAGGGATTGATAAACGCTGGAAGTTTTGAGCCTTATTAGTATATAATTCACCTTAAATTAAACAAATTCAGTTCAAGCAAACGATCACGTTTATCACCTTTTGTAGTCTCGTTGACTGTCGAGTGATTCAAGCGAGCGCGGCGTACCAAAGCAATCCAGTGGGCTCTGCTCGCATTAGGCACTCATTGATCATCATACCTTTCTCCCAGCGTTTCCATGAAGAACTCTAACCATCAGGTTGCTGGTCTTCCTGGACCACGTTTGACAACCTGAGGAATCCAGTCACTTACGGCTCCTGTTCAACGGTTGTCCTTCATGCGTATTACGTGTCCAGCTCATCTTATCTTCGACAGTTTGGTGTATAGAATTGCATCTTTGACTTTTGTTCGCTGACGAAGGTCGGAGCTTCGAATCCCTGCCCTAAATAGTGTGACACGAGATACTCCTAGCATTATAGCAACTATCCCCGGAATAGTTACTATTTCCTTCTATTACTGTAGTTTCTGTAGTAAGGATCAGATCTACTGTTTCTCAAGCTGCTTGGCAAATGTCGTAGTACGTAAATATTCTGATCCCAACCTAAGGAACTTCGTATACGTATATAATTCCTCTATCAAAATTCTCTATCTACCTAGCAGATATTCAATGGGTCGATGGAGACGGCCTTTGCCACAACACCACTAGACACAGCATCATGTGACCATCGGTCACACCACCGGGTATACTGCTGAGTACGTCTCATTGCTTGGGGAATGGACCCCGCGACCTAGGCCTTGACCCTCGCTTGGACGTAGCCACGCCCAGACGAGCACCGCCTCTTTTTTGGGGACTTGGGAGAGCCTTTTTTGGGAATCTTACGTTGGATTTGTTTGCCTTGTTCTTACGCCAGTATTCTTTTCATCATTATTCCTGTTGTATTGGCTTTTGCCTTTATGTATATAAAGATTTAATTCCAAGTTTGAGTGTCGAAAGCTGTTGTCCTGTGTCGACTACGAAAAGTCACGCGTGGCGTCCTATCACGAAATCGAGCATTCTGTTTAAAGCTAATGGTTATTCGGTGTCGATAACTAACTCGAAGGCCTATATTCCGCTAGCAACTGCGATAAGCATCGTCCTTTCGACGGCATGTTCAATAAAGCTGAGTGACTTTTCATCCTGCTTACGCAGCGGGAAGGTTTCTGACGCATACGTTAAGGCAGGAAGAATCGTAGAATAGAAAAGTTCGGCGCGCAGTCAGGTGTTCCTTGTTCTCTTAACCACATCCTCGATGCTCTTGAAAGCTCCACAAGCCGCTCGCTTCCTTCTGCTCAACTCTGGAGCTAAGTTGTTCACGATGTTGATTTCCCGACCTAGACAGACATAATTGGAGCATTCAGAGACATTCATTCCATTGAGCGTGAATAGGGCATACGTAACCAATCCGTTCCTCATCAACATCATTTTGTGAGATTTAGTCGAAGAACAATCTTTCCACAGGCTTCATCAAAGTCGGCTAGCATTCGTTCCGCTTGGTTAAAGTGTGGTACTATAAGAACAATGTCATCAGCGAAGCGAAAACGGTGATGATGTTTTCGAGGGTGGCGGTAAATAATTTTGGCGAGATGGCATCGCCTTGGCTAACCCTTCTTTTGACGTCGATGTTAATATCGTTGTAGAATGGTAATATCTTGATTGTGGAATCTTTGTATAGCTCACGAAGTATCCATATATATATATTGAGTAGCGACGCCAAGAACGTCCAGGACTTCCATGGTTGCTTCTCTCTCAATTGAGTCACAGGTCATCTTTAAATTGATGAAAGTGAGGTAGAGTGGTCTTTTGTACTCTCGCGACACTTCAGTGACTCTCGTTATCGTGTGGATGTGGTCCATCGCACTGAATCCTTTTCGAAACCCTGCTTGCTCACATGGCTATCCTTCGTGCAGTATTCTGTCAATCCTGCTTAGCATGACTCGAGTGAAAAGTTTGTAGACGACAAAGCAAGCAGATTGGGCAATAGTTACCGATATCGTGTAGGTCACCCTTCTTGAACAATAACACGGTCTTGCTGGTCTTCCACTGAGTAGGGACCTTGCATTCAGACAGGTAACGTGTAAAGAGCCGAGTTAGTGTGTTTATGAGGTCTGGTGGACAGTTCTTTCGATGTTGAGATCTTAATCTGCTTGGACCTGGTGTTGTTCAATTTTTCACCGCTGAAATAGCATGTCGGACTTAGGAAGAGAGAACTGGTGCTACCACATATCCAGCCTTCTCTATTTCCTATGAGAGCAAGAGGACGTGGCTATTGAAGAGATCTGAGTAGTATTCACGAATGATTTTCTCCATCTGGAAGCTGTAACTGTTTCGTCTGAACGTCGAAGTGCATTAATCTTGGTTTTGCAACTAGTGAAGCTTCGGTGTGCTTTTCGAATGACAAAAACAATACACTAATGATAGGAACACAATTCATTTCCCTATAGTATTGCACTATCGCTCTATCTCAAATTTGTGTCGCTCTATTGCATTTTTTCGCAATGTTGCGCGAAATTCGAATTGGTGGTACATTAATTCACTTCAATACTGCTTTTAACTAAAGGTATTTAAATGTCCTTTTAGGAATGTCTAGTGTTGTTTGTCCTTCAGAATGAAATATTTCTGGTGAATTCCTATCGGGAACGGTCACGCCGTTTGATTCAACTAAATATGATGTGTTTCTTAAGCATTCTAATCCCATTGCATGGTTATAAGCGTGCACCTAACACCACGAGAGCGAGAGCGTTTAATTAATCAGGAACGACAACGAAGAAGAATAGCAAGGCTGAGACAGGTGAAGGAACTTGTACTTGTTCTGATCGCGTAAGTGTCGTAATTTGTTTATAGAAGTAGTAGCTTATGCATTTGTATAGGTTATGTTTAGCGCGGCGGATGACCACTACTTCTTGGAAATTAGTGCTTCATTTATTTCCGTCTATTGGTCTATTATATTAAGCGTACCGCTGTTTTGTCACGAAGTGGTTATTCTATGACCTTAGTGGAGGTTTTACAAATCGATTTGTACTTAAACCTACTTGCTTGGTTGCTTCGATGGCCTATCTTCACTGGTTGTGTGGGCTCCAGCATATTTTCCATTCCCTGGAGACTTGCCGGTTTAGCTTTTGTGGTTCACTGGAGTCTCGAATACAGCCTGGCCAAAGTCTGCCCATGTCGTCATCAACACAGGCGGTCGCTGCCCTTGTGGAACAAAGGGAAAAATGCCACAGTGCGACTAATTTGATACTAGGACAGTGGTCGATCCTGCTATAGGTTTACTCTTAACTGGGCTTCCTGGTGGGAAGTTGGGCTTCTTATAAGCTTAGGAGGTCTTCCAGGGAGACGAATCCCCCGCTATACATCGCAGCCCGATACCCAGGAACACCTACCAGCCACGACGAGGCGGTGAACCGTTGTGAGATTTATACATAAACAAGCAGAATAACCTAGAGTCTGCTCATCAAGAAGCCAGTAGGGAAGCATAGTTGTGCGATAATGGGGCATGAGCGATTGTGTTTCTAACACTTTTATTCCTGGATAGTTCCAGTTTTACTGAGACATATTTCGTGGCTATAAGTTTTAGATCGGTCCATTTTACATATGTGGGTCGTTTTTAGGTACGGCAACAATCCAACGAGCACGCTCAGATAATTCGACAGAGACTGTGCACCGACAAGAAGAGTAAAGTGCAGGAACTTCGGAAAGTTTTATTGAAAATTCCGCAATTTTTAATTTGTTTGTCATTCATTGGCAAACTGAGTTAAACAGTTCTTTAAAATTCGTGATTTTCTTATAAGATTTTGTTTGTTATATACCTACTTGGATGGCCCGTCTTCACTGGTCGTGCGGACCCCAGCATAATCGGCACTTTTTCGGAGTTTTGCTGGTTTAGCCACTGTGGCTTCCTGTAATCCCAAGGTCAGCTTAGCCAAAGTATGCTCCAGATCGTAATCACCACAAGTAATCGTCGCTCTTTTGGACCAGTGAGATAAGTGCTACTATCCTACTAGTTTGAGACAAGGATGATGGTGGATCCTGGTACTGGTTTACTCTTAAATGGGCTTCCTGAAAGAAACGCCGGACTCAGCTTGGGAGACCCAGTTAGGGGGATGAATCCCCTCCTTGTATTTGGCATCCCGACACCCAGGAACACTTCCTAGCCACGATGAGGCGGTAGACAGTTGGGATGCCTTTGCTATATACCCATCTAAAATGACATAGTTTGAAAATAATGGTTTATTACCCATTTAGAATTTTTGGGAATATGCAATTAAGTTGTTGTAGTAGTTAGCACCTTTGTTTATAAATGAAGCATTCATTTTTAGAAAGGAGTTGCGCCGGTCGATCTCCGAGAAAATGTCTGGGGTAGAATCGGATGCTATAGATATTCCAAAGTTACCTCTTCCATCTAACTCATTTTTCGTATCCACTGCCACATCCAAGGTTCGTAGTACATGATACATGTTGCTGCTTTGCTATGGAAATGTACTTATTTCTTATCGCACATTCCCCTATTTTAGGGATCCAGCAGACGATCACCGTGTCATCGTCGTCATGTTTTCACCAAGGTGGATGCTCTTCGTGCGTTAGAGCGAGAGCGGCTCGCTCAACAACGGTTGCGAACGGAAAGGCAGGCTAGAAGGAAGGAAGCCGAAGAAGCTATCCGCCTGAGACGACAAGCCGTTGAGGAAGCAAATAGGTTTAACAAGGTTAGAAATGTATTTTTTCTTCTAAAGGTTAGAAACGTTATTTAATTTCTCGGGCTTTCATGCGAATATTTAAGATCTATAAAATGGTCGGCAGCGATCTGTTACACAAATGGAATCGATCTCCGCGCTCCTGACCCACCAAGCCCTCCATCCCTCCGGCGTAGGCAAATTGATACTAGGCTTGTCTGGGACGATAGCAGCACTGGCTCGATACATTGGCAGACCACCGCCAGTCATTATAAAGCCAGATATGCATTCAGTCACCGCTTAAGTCGAATGTATAGCGCATCTTTAAGGGGTTGATCAACCTCGAGGGCTTTATCCTTTCTCATCCTTTTATGATCGATATCACAGAGGGCTGGCAAGCTAGGCTAACATATCAATATTTTTGCTGTATTTCCTCCGTAGTTTGGTTACACCATGTTGCGATTTTTATGAAGTTTATTACGCACGGAGACAAATACAGAACGATGTCATCGTATTTAAATAAAAAAGAACCAGATATTCAGGCAAATCCTACGACTCGTTGAGATCAAAGAGGAAGAATTTTTGTTTGACGTCAGCTGCATCTTTACTATTTCAATAGAAGAGATTTCAGTTTTGTTATGAATTACTCGCTTCTCTGTTACTACTTGTATGTTATGGATTCTTCATTGGTGGTCGTGTAGCCGACTTCAGTCCTATGCATCCCCTAAACGAGATGCTCAGATGAATTGTTAGATCACTAAATACCACATGAAAGAGTATTCTCGTTTAGTTTTCGCAGGTGTATCGGACGCGACCACTGTAGTTGATTCTGCGAGGCGGTTTCTCACAGACGTCGAATGTTATCTTAAGGCAGGCGATCTCGTTCTCATACAGCAGCCATGGTAGGTAGTCGTCTCTGAAATTATAATGATTAATGTGGTCTCTCGTCGTTTCTTATACTGATATAATTCACTTGGCTAATCTCTAACCAATAGCGTGCTTTTGTACGTTTATCCCCACCAGTACTGTGCATTGATGAACTATGAACTCTTAACTGATATCAAACTTGCCGTCTTTAAAGTTGTGAACAATTCAATATCTATTTCACAACACTTTTTTCTTGCTTCTTTGCTAAACTTGGTAGACTTACTTATTCATTAGGTTATTTCTGTACAATATAAAATGCTTTATCCTCTGAGTATAAGGAAGATGCTCTGCCACTGTTTTGGCTGGAAGAAACGTTCTTTTAAGAATCAGTGGTTAACTAATACGCTTATATTCTTGTGTGACAGTCTTTTTCTGATAGATGCAGAAAAGCTGATGTAGAAGGTTACTCTATGTTTCCAATCTTGACCTTGTAATGCTCCACTTCTATATCGTACTGAAGAACATTTGCTTACTGCTCTGTGAATAACACACGTCCATTGTAATATGGTTGGTGTGTTTTGTCTGAGTACCTTTCTACCGTACCTGTATGTAAGATGTATTACTAGAACGTACTTGTGCCAGATATTCTTTCGATATTCAATATACCACTGGCTAAATTTGTCGAATTGTCCGTTGTTGACATCCCAAGTACGGCGACGTTCTTCAAGTTCTCTAAATGTGTGTGAATAAGAACATACTAATCTGTGGCAAACATTTGTGGCCCAGGACACTTCAACATTTAAGCGACGACGTGATTTCGATAGGAGTCATATGATACGAGAGTAATGGCCGCTTTCAGTTTTAAGGCATCACACTTCAAGTCATATGAACTACATTATTTAAATTACATAGATTAGAATAGATTCACATCGGCTCTGAAGAAGACGAAGACGTCAAAACGTTAGCCTAGTAAAAGTTATATAACAGTCTCGTGAAAGCTGAACAATCCAAAGAAATTTACATTATTGAGAGTAGAAACTGTTTAGACAGAATATGCTGCGTGCATATTTCAAGCTTCACGTCGTTTTTAGGATAAAATATTCTGCATGCATATTCCAGATTTTGCACTGTTTTTGGTTTTGGTAGCCGACGTCAGTGGGAAATACGTGGAATTCCAATGACTCGGTTATTAACTAGTTACAGTGGACAAGACGGTAAACATATCAGTACAGCTCGATGTTCTGAAAGGCTGGCACTTCCAGCATCCCATTAGATAATACTCGTCTAAGCCAACTTCGCTACAGTGTCTTCAATTTGCGCCTCCTTGAGCAAACGTTTCCGTTCAATGGCTCCAGTTGCGTTGAATGCTAGACGAACCTTGGCAATCACCGAACCCTGAATGATTTCTTTATCTCATTAGTAGTATAGTTAGTCAGAAATAACTACAAATATAAAATGTACTCGATATCGTTCTCTTGTCATTTAAATGTTTACAGATGAAGTATTGTTCTAATTAGTGTAAATTGAAGAACAGAAGGAGAAGGAGAATAATGAAGACTATTCTACAAGGGAAGTGTAGCATTCCTGAATGACCTTTACAAAAATTGTTTAACTCACATGACCGACTTGTTGCAAACTTGACAATGCACTTCTGTAATCACCTCTGTCTCCTTGCAAGAAATCCATCTCGCAGTCACCATCAGTATCGAAAGCGGTCCAATCATTGAAACAGAACTCCTGGAATGAGTACGGTGTCATTGCTAAAGACTTTATCACCGTACTCTAGAAGAAGATGTGTTATAATTTAAGTAACCAAGAGCCAGATTTTGGTCTCACAATGCTTCAATGGATCGTTAAGTGGAAGCGGTAGCTATCAGATTCGTACTCAAAATGGTTTATTTATGTGTCCATATATCGATTACCTTTCTGAATGTATAATAACCGGGTCGTTTGGGACATTTGATACCACGTAGTTGATTGGCAATTGAGTCCGCCATTCCGCTATCGCCGTGGTCTATTTCGGTGAGAGCATGGCACACGTCGCAATAGTAGCTAAAGTACTACTACTAGAAGAGATGTACTAGACAGGCGCTAATGTAAACGAACGATTATGTCAGAGCGTTGGAAAAGTTTTCTATTGACTGCTGTATGTTAGCCAATGAATTAGTTTTTTCTTCTGGTTTTTTCTTGGAGATTTGTTGTAGACATTCTTTCGACAATGATAAATGAATCACCAGTTGTTACCATAACCCCCACATCCATTACTAGAAGCATTCTGACATTTCAAATTCGAAAAATCTTTCACATTCCACCATTGATACTCTGCTTTGGCGAAGAACGAGTTGCCAACTACATTTGCATCGTCTTTGACCTGGAATTTCCAACGTTTATATTCATAACATTAGACGTGATTGAAAACTAATTCGGAAGAACTTGTGGTTTCTTTGTGGATGACGACTTGGATAGTGTGAAGACTCCTAACATTTTGCAATGGACTTTTGAAAGTGGTGGTACTGTTAGAACTTCAGTCATAATGAACGGTTTTGAAAGCATCGTGTGGGGTTATCAATAAATCGGAACTTCTGGCAATATTTCAATAGAATTTGGTGATTTATTACTGCCTGCTAAAGGTTACCGCCTCACGGCTGAAAGGTGTTCCTTGATGTCGGGTTGCAATGTACGGTGGGGGAATTCGTCTCCAAGCAGGGTCTCTTAAGCTGAGAATGATCGCGATGTTCCCAATCGGAAGCCCAGCTAAGAGTAAACCAATACCAGGAATCACCGCCGTCGTGGTTTCAAATCAGTCGTTAGGTGGCAAATCTTCCTCATTCACAACGGCGGCGACTGGCTGGGGTGGTGGAAGCTAAGGAGGGCTTTAGCTAGGCTGACGTTGGAACTCCAGAGAACCACAAGGCCAGGAGAATTCGCAGCTGTAGACCAAAATGACGATGGAAACCGTCTCGTGTGTTCACAGCACGTCTTTTCCATAGGAATTCATCTTTTGAGAAGACAAAAATCGTCGGTTTATATAGGAGTTCCTAGCCACGCGACTGATGCGACGATCGACCATGTTCTCTCGAACAAGATAGTCTCACTTAGCCTCAGTGGTACCAAGATTCTGTGTTGGATCCGATCACTGCTTTCTCCATACGAAGATCGATTCATACGTAAACTTGAAAAGAACTGTAATCGTCCAAAAAACGAGATAACTCATATATGAGGATATTCTCAATACAGTCATATTACTGACAGATGAAGAATAGCCAACCGCTTACTATTACATAAGCTGCTTGATGAAGGGCTAAAACTTGTGCCGAACTCGCCTCAGTTCCTCTGACAAGATCAGATTGCGATTTGTAGGCCAGATATTACATGTACTTCCCGCCGCTCATGTGACATCTTACCTTCAGAAAGAAAAAATTCCAGACCAGTGGAAGGTTTCGAGCACGTTCATCTTGCCCAAACACCTAAGCGAAGGTTTCCTTGGAAACATCGTATGGTATATTTGTTGAGTGTACTCTACAAGCATTTCAAGATAATTAGCTCTTTGTGCACGCCGAAGACCTTGGATGAGGCATAACCAATTGAGAAAGTGGGGTTCCAACAGGGATTCTGCCACATTGACCATAACCAACCCCGTCTATTTCTTTCCTTAACCCGCATCGACTACGAAAAAGTGTTTGACGGCTCGAAATGAACACAATCCTATAAGCGCTCGTCGATCAGTGAGTGTACCCCTCGTACATAAGAAGTCTATCTGACTTTCATCGGAATTACGCCACGAAAATACAGCTTCACCGTCGACCTGTTTACGTTACCATGGGAAAAGAATTTTTGGAGTGCGACGCAATTTCGCCAAAAGCGTTGACTGTCCCACTGTAGTGGATGATAAAGTCATTTGAATAGGACGAGAAATGCATACATGTTGATGGAAAATCTTCGTTTCATCGATGACATCGCCATCTTTCCGATCAATACCGATAGTGCAGAGACGATTCTAAACGACCTTAACGTGGAGCGGAAAGGATTGGATTGGGCTTAAATAGGGTGAAGATTCACTTCATGAAGTGCCCATGGTGCTAAGGTAAACAAGTAGAACTGGATGATTCTCTGATTATAGAAACCACCTCGTACGTGTACCTTGGACGTACAATGAACATGGAAAACAATGCGAAGGGGAAATTAGACAGAAGAAGGAGAGCAGTATGGGTCCCACTCTGGCCTCATAAAGAAGCTATCGACTAACCAGCGGACCCAGAACTCCGCGCTCTGCTTAACTTCTAAACTTAACAGTTCCCCTAGCGCTTTATTGCGCAGCAGAGACATGGGTTGATACTTCATCCACGTCAAGAACAGGGCATAACCCACAGAGCGCTCGAGTGTTATCTTCTGAACTTTAACTAGCACTCACAACGTCTAGCCGTAATATTTAGCTATCTTCCAAATTAATCTATGTCCTCGGAATCCAGCAGAATATACGTGGATAATGAAGCACATAGACGTTCACATAATAAGAACAGATATAGATGGACGAGAAGTGGCTGGACGTTTTCATGGGTAATGTTAACCATCTGTATTCGCAAATGAGAACAATTTTAGGACTCCGGAATGAGCTTCGCGGACGTCACCTGTTTGAAGCAGAGCACCACCATGGACGACGCCGACGCGAGAGAAACGAATGGAAATTCCGATGGGGCCCACGCTACTAGTGACGACGGGTTATCAAATTATTTAAGATATTTTACCGAAAACCTAGTGCCCTATAGAAACTCACTCGCAAACTCTTTATCTCAAGTGTGAAGCAACCAGGAAGACGGACGAGTTCTGGCTTAATATGTATTTGACCAGCACTGATCTCCAACAAACGTCTTGCACCAGGACGTGCTGTAAAAGTTTTCATCAGAAATGGAGGTTATATTAAATAATGGGCGACTGTGTGCGTTTAATATCGGAGTTAGGAGTTTGCCAGCACAGGATTTTCCATAACATGATGGTGTGTTTCCCACCATAAAGCCACCAAAATGGTTCCTTTACCCTTTTAGATATCTACAAGAATGTACGGGGTAGTCAAGAAGGTGATATGCTCCTCCAAACTTTCGAAAACTATTTTTGGTCTAATTTCGGTTAAGTTGAATGTGAAAGCTATAGACTAAATGTGTAAAGGGAAAACCTCTTATACATATTGCCTTTCAGCTCAGTCTGTGTAGCAAAATTGGCTATCCTAGATTAATTTCGAAACTCTGCTTCACTTCGTACTTATTTTTGTTGCACTTAATCCGGAAATAATATTAAATATGGGGATGTAAGTAACCAGAATTCCATGGATTCTCATTACGCCATGAAATGTCAGACAGACTCACTGCACGAAGTGTCAGCTCGGCCGGGTATCAACCAGACATCCTGATAGTCGCATTTACTTTTCGCTTTCCGTCGTATGTCATTAAATTTCGTTCCACTTCTTGAAAGAAGAATGTTTTCTTTCAATGTTTTCCTTCCAGCGTTTTTGCTCTTATTTTCTCTTGTTGATCTTTGAACCCACCTGTACAAAGCTCTACATTCCGGATCTAGTATATCACAGTTCAGCTGACAATGTACAAAACTGATTAAAGCTAATAGGCCTAACAACCGATGCATCTGGAATTGATAACCGTACTTTCGCGATGACGATTCAGTGACGTTGCGGCTGACATTCAACAAACAACAAATGTGAACGGAAATCTAGACATTCATTCATATGCAGGTGTTTAGGAGAATTCCGAGTACGCGAGGTGAATTAAAGTGAAGGGAGCAAGCCCAATGTGTAGGTGTGCTAAGGAAATGGACTAGTAGTTTGTTGTTTCCATTTGTCATACACATACATTAGAATGTGTTTGCTAAGATAAATCTTTAAAACACTCGCTACGATATAGAACGTTATGCTTGGGTTCATGGCTGAAACTAATTTAGCGTTCCAAGTTTTTCTGGAGGACGCGTGTGGCGCACTTGTTGGAGGCGCAACTACGTCACAAACGTGGAATCGATCCCTGCGCCCATGGCCAGCCAAGTCCTCAATCCCTCCGGGGATGGCAAATTGCTACCAGACTTGTCTGGGAGGATAGTAGCACTGGCTCGATGCATTGGTAGGCCACTGCGAGTCATTGTAAAGGCCAGATATGCATGCAGGCACCTCCAACGACACTTAACGAAGTCCTTGAACGAAAACGAATAACGAAATAGTTCTATTGATCTTTTACCACCAGCAATCACCCATCAACGGGATTGATCTGGAGAGCCCAAATCGGCATTGAACCCAGTTAAGCTGAGGCTTAGTTACAATCACAATCATATCTGAGAGACAGGCAAAACGAAGGACCCGGATGGTGTGGTGGTGAAGTGCGCTACTCCCCGGTAAAGACAATAGCACGCGTTCGTTCCCCACCGCATACACCTGCGGTCCGGAGTTTTGCAAGTATCTCAGCATTATATACGAGTTATATTTCGCAACATCCCCTGCCATTAAAGAGAAAAAGGCAGTGAATAAAAGGGTTAAGATTGCTCTATGAAAGTTTAGGTGGATTCCTTTCCAACTATGACTTCAGTGTGAAAGTTGATGATCAGGAACCTAAACTTTAAAGGAGAAATCAAATACTCAGTCTACGATGACACCTCCAACGAAGAAAAGAAAAACGGTTAACCAAAGAAATTTTGAGGCCATATGTTCGGACTTCTCAGAAGAGATATTTCACTTTAATGTTTTTCTCTATGGAAATATAAAAATATTCTATAAAGTAAGAATAATGTGCTTGTAAGCAGTCAATACCTAAATCTCTGATAGCTAAATGGAATGGGATTGCACATCAAAAAGGTATGCAGAGAGAAAGTATAGAACTTCAATTCGTTATCATGAGTTCAAAATGCGGGATAACTCAAAAATTGGACAACGCCGTGACAAAATTCCAACTTTCTTTTACCCACCTTCTACACACTACCTGGAAAACGCACTCATACTTATCGCACTGAGTTGGACATGAAGCAACCTATATTTTTTAAAAGTCGTTGAACAACAAGGACCAGAATGACAAGGAATCTTGGACTCAACTTGCTTCCCAAATGACCAATTGAAGCTTTGAAGATTTCTCGCGACCGACTTTTTGTTAACCTCGGCATTGACCGAATAATTCACTGTTCTGTTGATTAGCAAACACGAAGTCGTTACCTTATTCTTTATTTGTGAACAAGCTGACGATTCGGCTGATTTCGCCTTTCTCAGAGCCTGGAAAGGTTAAGCTGACCGCAATCTACCTGGCCAAACACCTCCACAACCAAACAGACAAAGTGCTAAACTAAGGTTTCGATCATATTGAACACAGAAGAGCTTCTTTGCACATTCACCGCTTTCTTTGAGCTTTCCACTGAACATGTCACGTGGAGACCAACAACGCAGAGTTCACATAGAGGTGTAATGTTCCTCTCACATTAAAATCAGTTTTAAATACCGTGCGAAATCACTCGTGACTACAAGACATTCCGCCCCGCGGTTTATTTTCGGATTCTTGGAATGCATCCAAGATGCTTCGATAGTTTTGCATGGTGGTATTTTCGATTCCTATGTGAGTATGTGTTCACTTACTGGAGTATTTGAATTAACTTTAAGTTTATCGACAAATTGTTGCTTTATAGGGACGCGGAGTGGTCTACCCGTTTCGCCAAAGTCCTCGTCTCGGCAAGCTTTACGAGAGTTCAGGTAAACTGTACTCGAACTCATGCATTCACCCTCTCTACTATTAGGGAAAATTATACAATTTTGCGCTGTACGTAGACGATCATACAGGTGGTTGTGAACTAGCTGGCGTCTTAGAGTGCTCGGTGGTATTTCAGTTGTTACCAAATTCTCTAGAGCCGCCCTTCTTAAGCAACGTCTTATAACTGCACTTATCTCGTTGGAAATAGGTAGTAGGATAAACGAGAGCTTATTATCGCTACAGTTATTGTATGAGGGCTCTGATTTTCCTCTACACCTATCCCAAGGAGCTACAGTTTCGTAGCTATTAGAAATGGCTATTTGCCACACCAGTTTCCGGGATTCATCCTTCTCCTTTCTTCCTGTGCACACGCTGGTTGCTGTTCGAAATGTTTCTTACAAGCGCCCTTTTTGTGTATGAGGAGTGAAAGGAAATGTAATGAACCGGTATGTTTTTACTACTATGCCTTTGGTGTCATTTCGTGATATGGGCGTTTTCAAATAAGCTAATTTGAACGCTCTTAAATGGAAGCCGGTTTTCTTTCGGTTTCTCTCTGGTGAAATTAATATACTCTAACTTTTCATTCAGTAACTCAAAACATTTGTCGATATCCTCTTGTACTGAGAAAATGACAACCGGAGATCGACTACTTGTGCTTCCACTTTAGACATAAATGCGATGTCAAAGCTTGGTGCCAATCGTTGTCCCATTGCAAGCCCTCTTATTTGTGCGTAATATCTCCCGAACCACCAGAAGATTGAGTAATTTAGGCACTCCTTTAAGAGTGTCGTCAACTACTGAACCGCGAAGCCATGCATGTTTATTTCTCCTTCGTGTTCTATAAGGAGTTCGATGATGGCTTGCATAGCAGAGTCATTCGACGCGTTTCTGTAGAGGGCAGTGACATCGAAGGGCTCTACCACGTACGCGCTGTTAGGTCGCGCGTTAGGTGGACGATCCAGGAACATCTGGGTGTTCGTTAGATGGGCTGGAATGTACTTTAACAGCTGGGTAAGTATTAAGGCTATAAACTGCGTTATTCTATCTGTTAGCCCGTCTACACAGCTAGTGATAGGTCTAACCTTGAATAACGATGGTTAGGCACAGCCTGTCTTACAGTAGACCCGAGATCTTCGCTTCATGTTATCTTATGAGCCTTGATAGGTAAGTATACGATGGGACATATTGGTAAATCAACTTTGAGTTCAAAAGCAACTGATGAAATTAAACCAGCAACTTTTGCTCTTTGAATCTTCCGTTGTTTAATTTTCGGTATACCGTTTTGAATCTCTTCTCAGATAATGGGCGATGAAGGGAAGCATCTTCAAGATGCTTTTTCGTTACCTCAACATCTAGCTGATAAGGAAATACTAAGAAAAAGAACGAAATTTCTATTTCAAACGAAATAAGTGCAGGTAGAAAACTTTCTTTACGAAGAGTAGGTCTAGAGAATTCGGTTATAGTAATTGAAACACCAACGATTACCAAATAATATAACTCTAGGACGTCAGCTAATTTGCGACCGCCTGTATGACCGTCTATGAGCGGCAGAAATTTACGTAATATACTCTAACGGTAGAGATTGTCAATAGTGACACATGATTGTCGCAGTTCGGGCGCGGTTTATTTGATCTTTTATAAAGCGTGCGGGGTTGAATACTTTGGCAAAATGGGTAGACCACTCGGCGCCGGCATAAAGGAACACCTTGTCGGTAAACTTAAATTCAAACCAAATACTCAACTAAGTGCGCATAGGACACAAAGACAAAACGGGAAGATTTTGAAGTAGAATTAACATCCTTCTATAGATGTCTGAAAATGAGCCGCAAGGAGGAATGCCTCGTAATCACGCGTGATCTCACATAGTATTTAAACATTAGATTTTTTTAATGTGAGAAGCACATTGTGCTTCCTTGTAAACTCCGTTCGGTTGCTCTACACGCAGCATACTCAGTGGGGAACTCATAAAAAGCTGTGAATGTGCGAAGTCATTTTGTGTTCAATGAGATTGAGACCTTGGTTCATTACTTTCTCTGTTTGGTTGTGGAGGTGTTTGGCTAAGCAGATTACAGTCAACTTGACCTTTCCAAGTCTGAGGAAGATGAAATCCGTCGAAACGTCAGCTTGTTCATAAATAAGATTAAGGTAACAACCTCGTGTTTGCTTACCAAGAGAACAGTGAACTATTTAAAGACTTCATTTGCCTCACAGAAGGTGGAATGAAATCTTCCTTCCAGCACTATGAATTCACCAACTGCGACAGCATTTACAGCTGATCAATAGGCAACGTGGTCTAGCAATTATTTTTTAGCATTATTAAGCAATTAACGTATGTTTTTGCTTTCTCGACTATGAAAACATGGCCGATGTTGCAAATAGAACAGCTAATGTGTTAGCGCTGGTCGGGGATAATCCGAACACCTTTTATACTTATTTAATTACTTGAATACTTCTATGGCATCTTCAGTAGTTGTGCGGGCGCCAGCATAATTTTCATTCTCCGGAGTTTTTCTGGTTTAGCCATTGTGGTTCCTTGGATTCCAGAGGACAGCCCGGCCAAAATCTGCCCCAAGTCGTCACTACCACATGCAGTGGCAACCCTTGTGGATCAGAGGGTTATTTGCCACCATGCGACTAGTTTGATACCACGATGTATTGGTTTGTTCTAAGCTCAGCTTCCTGATGGAAACGCCGGACTACTCAGCTTGGGAGAACTTACCAGGCGGATGGATCCCCTCGCTGTACATCGCAGTCTGACTCCCAGGAACACTTACCTCCCAGCCACGATGAAGTGGTAAACCGTTGGAAGGACGCCTTTTATATGGGAAACAATATCTTCAATCGTCACTGCACCACATATGCATAACTTTTAATCTACTTTTCATAGTCGCTGTAGAAAACAGGGACTGCTCG